AAATCAGCCTTTACCTTTTTTAAATAGTAATTTAATGTTTGTTTTTTGCTTTTTGGCATTATCTATTTAATTCTTTTTGAAATTATTTTGAGATATAACATAAGGTAAATCTGTAATGCTATTCCCTCCCCACTGCCCACCTGATGGTTCTCTGTTCTATTTCTTGAAAAACCCATTCCTCAACCACTGACTTGAAATGACATAATTGCCGGGTAATCACTCACCTACATTTCTCAAATAAAGCAAAACAAAAACTCTGGGACATCTTTGGATCCACCAGAGATTAACGGTGAAGCCAGCAGATGTGAAGCTTCCTGTCAGATATTGTGAATGACTGTGAGCCAATGGCTTGTGCTCTTTTACTCTTTTGTCCCTTGTGCCATCTCCTGCTCAAGTTTTTTGATATTCAACTATGTGAGTGATGTCCCACTCTGATTTCTAGGGCGATTTTCATTCCCTCCTCACCTTGGATCATGAGATGTTGGATCATGAACCCAGGAGCTGGAAAGCTTTCTCTTGGATATTGTGGATGGTTGGGATGCTATAAAGTTTTCTCTATTATACTGGTTGGGTCTTTTCCCCAGATATTTGGAAGGAGGAGGGTAGAGTCCAACTTATGACTTGGCTCTTCCTTTCCCTGCAGGTTGTCTTTTAAGAATAGACACATGCATATACCCTTGCCACGGTTTAGCCAGGATACCCACATCCGTAGCCCACCATTTTTTGGTTCTTCAGAACTTTTCTTTCCCTCATTCCCTAACAGTCCCATATTGGGGCGGAAGTGGGAAGTTTATTTATTTAAGTTTATTTAGTTTAAATTTGTCTTTATTTTTTGTTTGTCTGTTTACTCATTGTAGTGGATATGTAGATTGGCTTGCTCATAACCCATTCCAACCTCATTCTGGTCTTTTCTGTGCTGTAGGGGCTAGAAAGGTAAAAACTGCACTTTCTAGATTCCTCTGCAGTTGGGGTGGTTTTGGTTATGATTGGTGAAACCTAAATCAGACTTCACAGATGAGCAAAATTTCTCCCAAAATATTGGCTGCAAATACAAGGTTTCCAACTTTTTATTTTGCCAAGTCAGGAAATTAACAAAACAGCCACAGCCACAACAACTATCACCTATCCTAATTATAATTTTATAAAAGGAAGGACATTTAAAAACAAAACTTTGAAGTGTAAAAAAATTATCTCAGTTTAAAGGTCACTTGGCAAATATATATATTTAATTATGTATTATATATAGTACAAATATGTATTTTACATAAGATATAAAGTATATGTCTATATGTACACATGCATGTATATATAATTTCTGCACATGCATATCTCTTTGTGTGTATTCTCATTTCACTGAATACCACTGGAAACTTTGAGCTGTACCTAAATGGGAATGCACTGATTAGACGATGGCAGTGCAGAAAGGAAGGAGGTTCTGCATGGAGACTATGGAGGGGCCCTGGATCTCCATCAATATAGACAATGGCTTATTAGGCCCAGCACTGATGAGGATCCCTAGGTTGATGCTGCTCTTCAGATATTTGGATCCAGATATGTCAGTATCAAAGTCCTTAAGTTATTGGCCTTTTAAACTCCATGTTCTGTTTGCCTGCCTAATATGCTAGCAGAAACCTTTCAACACAGCTGGGACTGAAGATTAATTTTGTAATATGAAGCTCCTTTACTTAGATGTTACATTTTCCAGGGTGAGATCAGACACGTGATGCAGTATTTTTAATTTTCACAAAAATAAGCTTATTATGAGTCAATACTCAGACATGTACACATGCATACATAAATTGTCTAGATCAGCAGAAAAACTTATTAATGTACTTTTCTAAGCAAAACCAACTGAACTTCCCAACCCACAGAGAGTTTCCATTTTGGATTCCCCAAAGACCTTTCCTCCATTCATCCTCTTCTGCTCCTCTTTTCTCAGCAATATTAAAAATGTTGTATTACAATCCAGCAATTTCACTACTGGGTATCTACCCAAAGGAAAAGAAGTCATTTTATTAAAAAGATATCTGCACTCTAATGTTTATTGCAGCACAATTCACAATTGAAAAGATGTGGAATCAGCCTAAGTGCCCATCAATTCCTGAGTGGATTAACAATATATACATATACCACGGAGTACTACTCAGCCATTAAAAGAAATGAATTAATGTCTTGTAATTTGGATGGAACTGGAGACTATTGTCCTCAGTGAAGTATCTCAAGAATGGGAAAACAAACAGCACATGTGCTATCGAATAATTTGGAACTAATCGATGGGCACACATGGGCACAGAGAGAAGTAAGAGTCATTGGAAATCAAGCAGCGGGAGGGGGTAAGGGGAGGGGTAAAACCCTACCTAACAGGTACAATGAGTACTCTTTGGGTGATGGGTACACTAACAGCCCTGACTTCAGCATTATAAAAGCTATCCATGTACCCCTTTTTGAAATTAAAAAAATACTGTATCGTGAGTCCAGTCACTCTTCTGGGTGGAAGCTGAGTCCTGTCCCAGATCTAAGCAAGCGCTGGAACGGGAAAGAGACCTGCCTCACTCGGGGCTATCAGCCGCACCCTGGTGTGCGGAAAGGTAGTGGCGCCACCGGTTTCTAAGTCAGCCTCAACCACACTGTTTTGGAGGCACAGGGCACACTGTGAATTTTTTTCTTCCGTGAACTGACTTGGCAGCAACAGCAATTTCCGCCTGTCTCTGTGGCGCAATCGGTTAGCGCGTTCGGCTGTTAACCGAAAGGTTGGTGGTTCGAGCCCACCCAGGGACGAAGGCGACAGTTTTGTGAACTCAGGGTGGGTGACAACCTTCGTGTCTTGAAACGTAAAACCAACTTCGGCATTAACCCCTAGGACCCCTAGCCGCTGGCCTCTACGCTGGGTGGCTCCCAGCACCTTCCTCACTCTGGGCACTTTGCTAGCGGTTTTGAGGTATCTGGTGCGAGTACAGTTGCAAATAGAACTTTTAGCAGTTTAACCACTGAAATTGCATCATGAAACTGATGCTTTCAGAAAATTTAGCAAAGGAAGTCAGTATTAACAACCCAAAGATGAATTCTGTATCTTTCCCACCAAACACGTACGTACTGCCTTGCCTTTGTATTTCCTAACCTATGAAACTGGAACCATGTCTGGAATCTGGGTCCTTAGTCACGCTACGTCCTTCTTGCTACCAATTCTTGGAGAGTCTGCCTCCTAAATGTCTTTTGACTAGGCACCTTCCTCTCCTGCTTCGCGGCCACTTACTCCCTCATTACTCCATTTGGGTTACTGCATACTACCCAGCCACCCTAGCTGGTTCCATCTTCAACGCTCCTCTCCCATCCCTCCTCCACGTAGCTGCCAGAGGGTCCTTCTAGAATACTGTGCAGTACAAGATTAATCTATTTAAACTATGTCAATGGCTTACAGGGTCTGATACAATCTCCTTAGCTTGGAAGGCAGTGCCCTTCGTGATCTGGCCCCAAAACTCTCTCCTCTGCCTCACTGACCCTTTAGACTCCAACAGAACTCAACCGCTTTCTTGAACTCATACTCTGGCTTTTGAATCTTTGCCCATGGACCTTCTGTTTTTCTCCTCTTCTTTGCCCGGCAAACTCCTCTTCATCCTTCATGACTACACCAAAATCGAGCCTTTTCTCCGCAGCCCTTTCTTCACTCTCTTCTTACTTACCTGTTTTGCCCACTAGAATGAAAGCTCCTCCAGCGAATGACCCTGTGTTGTTCATCCGATATCCTCAGCACCTACACTCAAACTTGGAACATTGTAGATACTAAATAAATGTGAGTTGAATGTCCAGGGTTTCCAAATACACTTGTCTCATGTCTGAATCTCATCTAACATTTACGTCTATACCTAGCTTGAATCATCTTGTTTTAGATCTCATGATTCACACAATCAGGCTGACACTCTACCTCTGCCCTGGCCTCTACCTCCTGCCTCCAGTGCCTTTTCCTACTTGCCCCAGTGCTCTAAAACTACCTTTAATTCCTACTCCCGCTCCTATCCTGTACTGCCCACAAAAAGCCCCCTTCAACCAGTTGTATCAGCAAGATTCGGAAAGCAAGCAGCCTAATTCCTGTGAGTTGTGGCGAGATGGTTGCTGAAAGGGGAGAGGGGCGTGGTTCTCATCAATCCAAACCAATCTCTGATAGAATTTTGCACAGAGGGAAGAAAGGATTTTATCACTCATGTTTTATTACCACGGTTTTTTTTTCCATCTTCTAAGACTAGCATGCAAGATATTATAAAATGCTTTACTGGAATCAAGAAATGTTCTGTTTAAAACTTCTAAAACAGAAAGAGATAGCGAAAGCTTTCCTCCGTGAGCAGCAATTGCCTTTTCCCTTCCCACTCCACTGGCGTCGGCATGCTGAGGGATTTCAGAGTTTCGCAATTTACTCAGTGGAGTTCACTACATTTAGTATTGGTTATCCAACATTTGCTTGATAAATGAAGTAAACAAAGCTATACTTGAATTAGATACTGAAACACAAAAGCTGGTTTTATTGTCCCTGCCTCTGCTCTCTAGTTCTTACTGCCCTGGGCAACAAAGGCGTCTTCACCCCCTGCCCTTTCCTTCCTGTGTGTTTGTGGTTGACTCTTTCATATCATAGTTTCTCAGTTCAAATGCTGAGATATCTGTTCACTTAGCTTAAGCTGGGACAATGACACACAGGGTTTGTCATGAGCTTTCTTTTTCAATCCCCTGCCCCCAATCCCCAGTCCCCTTCCTAGGACCATTTTCTACTCACAGCATTAAGAGAGTTCATCAGCATATACTTGCAGACCATCCCGGTTCTGATAGAGACTCCCCTGGAAAGCTCGATTCTGCATCACCCCTGTGATTTCCTGTCACCTCCACCAGGGTTCATGTTCTAGGAAGACAGACTTCCCTCTAGGCCGAGGGGGGAGAACTTCCCCTGGTCTACCCTGGACCACCCTGCTCTTTCTCAGCCATTCCCTTCACTGGTTCTGAAGAATCCCCTAGATCCTCAGCAGTCCCCACACTCTTGTCTGGAGTTTTGGGATCCCCTAAATGCAACCAACCCTGCAGCAATAGATGCAGACCACTGTCCAGCTGGCTCTGCCTCAACCACTACTTCTGCTGGTCTATTTATTTAGGAACAACTCCTATACATTTAGAGGTCACCAACCAGAGCCTGCGTTGTTGCTTTGCTGTGAGGGAATGGTTGGGACAGAGAAAATGTTTGTATAGCCTTGAGACTTCAATTCCTAGGAACGAAGCTACTCACTGGGCTTCACTGTTGGCACTCGAAGATCCCAGGCCTTTCCTTTTCACTGGAGATCAAGAGAAAATAGAGAATTGGGTGGGGGGCCCTCAGCCCAGGGTCTGAGTTGTGTTTTTCCTGTGCTCACAGAGATGCCTAATGGGGATGATGGGGTCGCAAATCCAGAGAAACGTTTAGAGATGTTGCTGCCATTGCTCTTATTACCCGCCAAGGGATAAGGGGTCATTTGTCCTGAGGGTCCTGGCTCCATTTAAATTTGTGGTCCTTCCAGTCCCTTGGAGAGCTTCGAAGCTTTCTCTGCATGGAGAAATACAGTCCCGTGTCCACTGCAAACAGGAGTACCATCACCAGGCAGAAAGCGACTTGATGCCAAGGTAGAAAGGATGGTGAGACAGATAGACTTGTCGAGCCTAGTAGGGGAAGTAGAGGTATGAGAAAAATGACTGTCATTAAGGCAGAAATTGGGAACAGTGAGGTCACCAGTGGAGAGTCTTCCTGACACCTGCCAAGAGACAGGTTGCAGGAATGGTGGGAAGTCTCGGGGAAGCCTTTGCTTCTTCCTAGGGACTCCTGATCTTGGTGTTGCCTGAGCAGAGTCACTCCGTTTCTGCTTATTTGATGGAGATGTGACAGGGAGTGTTAGCAAGTTAGGTTGGAGCTGGGTTTTGTGTGACAATTATGAAATTGTCAGACAATGCTGTTATCTATAAACTGGGACAAATTTTTGGATTTTTAGTTTCAATTTTTTAACTCTTACTTTTGATGTAATTTCAAACTCGAAAAGATTTATCAGAATAGTATAAAGAACTCTCGTATATCCTTCACCCAGACTTGCCAATTGTTTACATTTTACCCCATTTGTGCTTCATTATTTGCTCTCTTTCCCTAACCATTTGAGAGGATTTAGTTTTGATTTAAAATGTAATTAAATTATTTTTATACAAATTATGGCATTGTTTTGTCAAAATCTCAAAAGGTGTTGTGCTGCCTTTATACATGAAAATTGTTTAGAATTTAGGTCTTGGTCTGGTTCCAGATAGAAGTCCAGGAATACCATGCTAGATCTCTGACCCTGGAGGTTGGCCCTATAGAAACTAGAAATGTTTTCTGGGTGACTTAATGGGACCCAAAATTCCATCATAGGATATTGTGCCTGTTCAATTCTTTCATTTTACCTGATGGTTAAATATATAGGCTTCGAAGCCTTTGGTGTGACCTTAGGGACAAATTTTATTTACTTATTTATTGCACCTGAGTTACTCCATGTAAATGGAGTCAATATTGCCTATCTCATAATGTTGTGAAGATCAATGATCAAACTAGATGCATGTAAAGAATTGTTTAGCACAATATCTAGCACAGTGAAAAGCGCCCAATAAATGTCAGCTTACCTTTGTTACAGAAGAAGAAATTGGGGTTCAGAGAGACTAAGTGGCTCACCCACTGTCACATGGTCAATTAGCTGCAGAGCCAGAACCCAGGTTCCAAGCCCTTTCTGTGAGGGGATGAAGGGCTCCTGCCAGTTTAGGTCTTGGCTAAGACTTGGATGAAGGTGAAGATGGGCCAGCATGATAGGGACACATGACATCATGGGTGTGGCTGGGGTAAGGACAAGTGTATTTATTATTATGTATACTACTATTATGGGGAGGAAATGTGGCTTCTGTTCCTGTTATCACACTGCAGAGTGAATGACACTTCTCAGCTACCTCTAAGGAACAGGCTGAAACAGAACTGCACACCTACTCAGCGATCAGGGATTATCGGGGTCTCTGCTGGTCACCAGTGGGGAACCCTATGTAAAGAAGTCTGTGGAAGGGTTGGAAATCTCCTCCCAACTCATCTTCCCAGTGTGAGTGGAGGCTCCACACACAGGGGGCTGTGGGCACTCTAGGGTTGCACGTGTCTCACCTTGAACGATGATGTTCACAGTCTCTGAAGACACGTTTTTCTTTCCGACAAGCCCTCTGCAGAAGTAGGAGCCATTGTAACCAGGTGTGGCTTTTGGTATGTGGTAGTCAGAATTGTGATGAAAAAACCTTCTGCCTTTGCCATTCTGTAAATATGTGACTGAATGCACGGAAGTGTTCTTCCAGCTGTGACACCTCAGGTGAATGGGCTCCCCCTCCTGGAACACCCACCGAGGAGCCTGGAGCACAAGCCAGCCTGAAAGACACAGAGACCCCAGGCCCGGGAGGCCTCAGCTCTTAGTGCAGAGCTCTTGTGAAGGGGACACTCACCACCCAAACCCTGGGACATCAGGGAAAGCCAGACTGGAAGCCATCCTTACATAGCTCCCTTTGGGAAAAAGCTGACTAGGCCCTGCAAGAGAACTCAAGTCACACCAAGACCTTTTATCTAATGGGAAAGAGGGATACACACACACACACACACATACACACACACACACACACAATCAAAGCATAAGGTTAGAGCAGAGGGAGTAAGTAATGAGGTAGGCGGGAAGCAATGTTGGGGATAACTGCAGAATCCTTAATTGCTGGACTTGGATTTGCTATGACAGGTAATAAGGGGTCACAGCAAGTTCTGAATCAAAGAGTAAAAATTGCATTTGAAAATGATGATTTGCCCCATTAGAGAAAAGGTAGATTTCAGAAGGAATAAGTAATTGTAGGAAAACTGAAAGACTTCTACAGCAGTCAGGAATAAGGTGACTGAGTGGCCGGAGAAGAGGCTACAGAAATCGTGAAGGGGCACTCAATGGAAAAGTCAGGAGGGGAAAGGCATGACTGGTAGCGCTTGTGGCGGTAATTGTTGGTTTCTGAAGGGCTGAAGGGCCTCAGTGAAACCATCTTCATTACTGAGCAGGCCTTCGAGAGAGAAAATTCTTTTTTTCTGGAGAGACAGAGTATAGTTTCAGTCTGTTGCCCTGGCTAGAGTGTAGTGGTATTGTCATAGCTCACTGCAACCTCCAACTCCTGGGCTCAAGCAATCCTTCTGCCTCAGCCTCCCGAGTACCTGGGACTACAGGTGCACACCATCACGCCCAGCTAATTTTTTCCATTTTTAGTAGAAAGGGGGATCTTGCTCTTGCTCAGGCTGGTCTTGAACTCCTGAGCTCAAAAGGGATCCTACTGCCTCAGCCTCCCAGAGTGCTAGGATTACAGGTGTGAGCCACCGCGCCTGGCCTGAGAAAAATTCCTAAATCACTAGGACACTTGTTCTCACAACCGTTTTACCAAGTGATCAGACTCCGCACAGAGAGAACACGAAGTCATGGTCAGGAGGGGACCTGAATAATTAAAAATGATATTGTAGATAAATATTATAATGGCATGAGAAAATATTCATGAGACAATGATAAGGTAAAAAGGTAGGATACAAAAAGTATATATGCAAAGAAAAAAAAAGGAAGGGTATGCACTTAAATATTAACAGGGTTTTTTTCTGAGGGAGTAGGACCAAAAATCTTTTTAATTTTCTCTTTTTTACT